CGCGGCTGAGGCTATCGTAAGCTGTGGCTGAACCAAGATGCGTGTGGCCGGCGCTGCCAGGTACTCGGACGGCTCGGCTGGTTCGAACAGTTGGATGTGCTGGGTGGCAGGCTGCTGCGTTGTTGTGACTTGAAGCGGAGGCTGTACGGTAGCTGCGGTTGTGGAGTAGCTTGGCCAAAGAACTGCCCTTGTAAGGTGTTCTGAAGATATGTAACGTCCCTAAATACTTACTACGTATTACCAAATTTCAAGCAACTTTGTAAAAATTATTTCTGCAGGTAGAATAGATAATAGTCTTTCTTTTCAGAAGTCATCTCTCTTTCTTGACTTTACTCAGTCTGAATGACCAAGAATCCAAAGCTATTCCATTGATGATGTTCCAAAATGTGTTGCTTATGGTAGTGAGCACAGTGATAATGACAGTGCTGACAACTTATCTCAATAAAATCCTTTTCTTCCGTCCAGTTTGCTCTGTTTCCTGTCTCTGGTGTAATTGGCAGGTAACTGCAACCATTTCCATAGTTGATAACTATTTTATGTTATTAGATCAAAATATCTCTGATTCTTTATGTGAAGCTTTCAAGGCGGCTTTCGTTAATAAAGTCTTCTCGGGCTATCAGCCGTGTTAGATGGTATTTAATCGCCGACGTTTCGAGGACCATCTGTCCTCATTTTCAAGGCTGTTGACTGTGTGGACACCAACTAACACGGCTGATAGCCCGAGAAGACTTTATTAACGAAAGCCGCCTTGAAAGCTTCACATAAAGAATCAGAGATATTTTGATCTAATAACATAAAATAGTTATCAACTATGGAAATGGTTGCAGTTACCTGCCAATTACACCAGAGACAGGAAACAGAGCAAACTGGACGGAAGAAAAGGATTTTATTGAGATAAGTTGTCAGCACTGTCATTATCACTGTGCTCACTACCATAAGCAACACATTTTGGAACATCATCAATGGAATAGCTTTGGATTCTTGGTCATTCAGACTGAGTAAAGTCAAGAAAGAGAGATGACTTCTGAAAAGAAAGACTATTATCTATTCTACCTGCAGAAATAATTTTTACAAAGTTGCTTGAAATTTGGTAATACGTAGTAAGTATTTAGGGACGTTACATATCTTCAGAACACCTTACAAGGGCAGTTCTTTGGCCAAGCTACTCCACAACCGCAGCTACCGTACAGCCTCCGCTTCAAGTCACAACAACGCAGCAGCCTGCCACCCAGCACATCCAACTGTTCGAACCAGCCGAGCCGTCCGAGTACCTGGCAGCGCCGGCCACACGCATCTTGGTTCAGCCACAGCTTACGATAGCCTCAGCCGCGACCGCCACGGCCGTGACCGTGGCCACCGACACCATCCAGGGCATGACAAAGTCCTCTACCAAGCAGCAAGCAACGGCACTCATAAAGATCGAACCTGCTCATACGGTAAGTAAACCAAGAATTGTGGCCGAGTTCAGCTCTCCTGCCTCATTTTCAGGAGGTACAAGGTTCAGATCTAAAACAAGAAACTTATTGAAGATTCCTGTCTTCTGGGTTGTTGCGCCATGTACTCCGGTAGATTTTGACATCTACCGGACTACAGGGCGCAACAACCCACAAGACAGGAATCTTCATACTCTTCAAGAAGATAGTTGCCTCTCCAACAGATGCCAGTAATGGGCAGCGAGGAAAAAAAACAAACATTTGAAGGTCTAAGATGATGAGCATTGATGCACAGATGCACATTTCTGAGCATTTAGTCTAGTTTGTAGTTAAATACTAGCAAAATAAAACAATGCGATTAGTTTTAAGTTGTTTATGTGAAACATTTAAAGTAGCTTTAAAAAGATAACTAACCTAACCTAACCTAACCTGACATAACCGAACCTAACCTTTTATTCTGTTGATGAATTTATACAGTTTGAAAAGGATTCATAATCCTTTTGGAGGTTATTGTAATTATGTAGTATGTGCAGTTTTAAACTTAAACCTTTACCATTTGTGAAAACTAATTAATATTTTAAATTGTACTCATCTGTATGTTTTGTACTTTATAACTTAAATGAGGTCCTAAATCGCATGCACAAAGAAAAGGAACTATTGCTCACCGTTAAGCAAAGAAAGACTCTTTATTTGATGCACATTATGAGAGGGGAGAGGTAGGAAGTTCTGCGGCTGATCATCGAGGGCGAGATCAGGGAAAACGATCCGTCGGACGACGACAGAAGGATGTACACAGATGGTTTGGCTGCACATCAATCGACATCTTCTGAGCTGCTGTCTCCAGATCTACGCTGGCCATTTGGATCGCCAACCTTCGCAAGAAGACGGCGTAATAATAATAATAAGAACTTTTCCTACATCCAATTTAGTCTGACTAAATTTTTGGCATGTGGAGTGTAGATGTGTATGTACTATTAAACCTAGCTTCTATAGTAAATCCTTTACTGGTGTTGTCACCAGGTATCCGACTGCATTGAAGGTGGCGCAGAAAGCATCACAGTGGATGACACCAACATAAAACCGTCGCACCGCACGTCTCCCATCAACACGTCCAGATCCACAACGACAGAGGTCTCTGTAGCAACAAACACAACCCCAACACCTCAAACTCTAGCAGGACAAACAGGCACCATGTTCCCCACGGGCGCGACCTCAGCCGCAACGGCGCTGCAGGCTCACTTCTACTACGAGCACCACGCCCATCACCCGACATCCACCGCAACTGCAGCCATTGTTCAGTTGTCGCAGACACCCCAGCCCTCTGCATCAGTGCAGACTGATAATGGGAAGAGGTCACAGGTGAGACAGTGTTCCGAGGAACTATCCGATGGTTTAATTAAACATTGTAATGGTATCGTATTTTTATAGATCGTAATTTGTATAGATTTTAAGCACAAAGTACTAAAATTAAGACAAGTGAGAAGTTTGTGTGTCTGTTTTCTTTTCATTCCGGGTTCGATTCCCGGCGGTGCCCGAATTTATAACTTGTGTTGGGCAAGGCCGTGGTCTAGGTAACACGGAGTTTTCCTCCGGGGGCTTCCCCGGTTTCTCCGTGGCATCCCATCACACACTGAAGAAGGCAATGGCAAACCACTTCTGTATCACCTGCCTAAAAACATATATGAACAGGTCCCAGTCCGAGAAAAGGATGGAAGGATCCTGTTCATAATATGTCGCCAACCTCCTGTAAAGGAGACGGCGTAATATAGAAGAAGAAGAAGAAGAAGAAGAAGAAGAAGAAGGCTCATATCACTCCAGTTTAACTCTTACTTTATTTAAAATTCAAATTAAATTTTTAATTTCTCAAAAATGGCTCATTGTATTAAAGAGTGGTAGTAAAAAAATGTAGATCTCATTGCGATGTACAACTTTTATTTGCCACGTTATACGCATATCAAATATTTAACTAAATACTAAAAATTTTTTTTGGTTGTGCAATATGGTGGTGTTAGTGCGTTAGACTTATTTATTTATTTTGTATCCAAATACACACCATTAAGACATGGTGTGCAAAGGTGTTTAGCAAGATTCGCGACCCAACAGTACAAGTTGGGTTCGACAGGGACCACGACGTGAACGCTCTTGCTACAGTAGACTTATATATATGATAATGGGTATGTATCTGCTAGAAGTCAAGAGGCATGCAACGTTACAAAGCTCACATTTAGAAAGAATGTGTACTCCACTGGACTATACTCGTACCCTTTTAGAGGCTAGGAATTGAGAGGTTTTTTTTTTATTGTTATACTTATGGAGTTTCGTATGAAATTTGAATACAGCCGTTACAATTTAGATCTTGTCTTTTCAGGCGACATCACCAGT